AGGGGCTACTTCTTCATCGGGCTCCTCTTCTTCCTCCTCTTCCGACTCCTGGTCGATTTGCTCCTGCTCAGCCTTGTAGGGCTCCGACTTCTCAGGAAGACTCGGATTCCACGCTGTGAGGTCCGCCAGCGCACCGGCAGGTGCCAGTGGAACACTGTGCTCAAGTGTTGACATGAATTGAAGTTCCACAAGTTTTGGCTGCAGCCTCTCCCACACAGCATTCGCCAAACTCGACACCATGTTCTCAATTGAAGATCGAGCTGAACTGTTGCTCGGCAGTGCAGCACCACCACCTAGGAATGTCTGAAAGCATTCCCCAACAGCCATCTCACATGCCGTCATCATCGGAAGTGTTGGGTTTGCTGGCGCCGGCGGAGGAAAGGCAGGTTGAACTGGATGTGTTGCTGCCAGACGTGCATCCCTTGGATGTAACGGACGAGACTTGGGCGGATCTTTCGGTTCCGGCACACCCTCTGGAGAATCAACCTCAACCACTGCGGCTTTGGCGGCTTTGCAGCCGGCTTTTTCGGCTTTGCAGGCATGCTTTTCGTAAGAGGTGCTGGCTTTGTTTTTGCCGTTGCCCCTACTTCTGCTGATGCCAATTTTTTTGCTGGCGGTCTTGCTTTTGGTGGTGCTCCTGCTTTTGGTCCTGCCCCTGGCTTGTCTGTTGATGCTGTTGCGCTGGCTTTTGTTTTTTTTGCTGGTGATGCTTTTGGATCATTGGTCCACTCTGGAGCGGGCACTGGTGGCCTGGCAAAAGCCGGAGTAGCAGAACTGGAGGATGCAGGATCACCACCCCCTCTTGTGGCGTCATCGACATCTGTCTCCGGGATCTCAAGCGGAGCAGTTCGTGCTCTTTTGGCATCTGGCAGCACCTCAAATGCTTTGCATTGAAGACGACACACACACACACACACTCAATTGAGGATGTCAATTGTGACTGAAATGTTATTATTTATTCTTGAAGCTGAAGCGAAAATGTAGTGTTGCTCCCAGCTGCTGCTGCTGCAGCAGTTCCTCTTGACTTCGTCTTCTGATTTCGCTTCTGAAGCTTCTGAAATGTCCTGGAAGGTAGGTCCACGGGATGTTCCTGCTTGTCCTTGACCATTCTTGTTTTCAAGTTCCTGAGTCAAAGTGGTACGTGTTGGCACTACAGGGCAGACTGCAAATCAAATCAATGCGGAATTCGAGTCCAGGCACATCTGAATGGAAGCCCAATCAGTCTGATTTGCAAATTGGTCGGTCCATGTGGTCCAAGCATTTTGCAATGCTGCCCCCCATTCATGCGACGACCAACCAATGGACGGCAGGAGATGCTTCTGCTTCCTGATGCACACTTTGGCAGAACCATGGATTGCATTTAAATATTTACATATTACAACCTCAAAACAACATTCGAAAATCTGAAGCTGCTCAGCGACACGTCATGGCCATTGGCGAAGTCGATAATGTGCTGTTGATCGGCAGCGATGGCTCTGTAATCGTCCTTTCTGTGCCTCTGGACTAAAGTGTCCAACCATGCGACGCATTCGATGCCACAGACCTGCACTGACAGCTGATATACTTACAAAAACTAGACAATTGAGTGTCACCTGGACCAATGAGTCAGTTCAGCACAGCGACTTGGAAGAGAGCCATGACCAACGCAATCATGGCACACGTCCTGTGCCATCCCGCCGAACAGCAGATCCTGACAATTGAAGGACCACATAGGAGGGTTATAATTATCCTAGTCCCTGAACCTAAAAAAAACCTCCAAGACCTTCAGCATTCAAAGACTCGAGAAGCCTGAGCAACTTGTCGGGAAAATTGAGGATGAAGTGGAGCGTCTTGAGCGCTGCGGGATGACTATACACCTCGGTCATTAGGGTGAATTCTTATTAAAATTAAAATTAATTATTATACAACTCGATTCATGAAGCAACACCTGTTCGACCAGGCACCTGTTCCATGATATGCGCGTATAGGCCACATTCTCTGCCAAACCTTCCTCCTTGGGCCTCCCTTGGCTTCCATCCATGACTGTCACTGTCACTGCCCTCAATTGTCAATTGAGTGAAACTGAAATGAATGAAAAATGTACAAATGTCATGAAGCTTCGACACGTGCATTTGCACCTGCAAGCGAACCTCCCATTTGTTAGAAAAGTTACTTTCCCTGTCCAACTTCTCCAACAAGTCTGCCATCTGAGGTGATGGACGATTTCCATGGGCGGCAACCCCATAACCAACGATCACCACTCTCTTCGGCCAAACATAGGTTTTGCCGCCCACCAAAACTGACCTCACATCGTCATCAGTAGCATCAATAGCCGGTTCGTGGTCTCCACCGTCCCCAATCGTCCGAGTCGTCTTCTTCTTTTCCTTTGCCCCGCCCCAAGTCACCGGAACTTTTCGTTGAGGCGTCTGCGGCTTTCTTGCTGCCGTAGTTCCCGACATCGAATTGGCTGTATGCTATCCCCAAGCTTTGATTGTGCCTCGAATGAACACGGAATTGTAATGATGAAAGTTTAAGCGCCAAAAAAAAGGGCTGCATCAATCTTTGCCAAAGTGCTCTCTAACGTTCTTGTTACAGGCTGACAGAATCCAGGCTTCTGGTTTCTGGATGCCGTCTCTTCCCCGTTTGAAAGCTCTCCTCAAATGTTGTTGCATTGAAACAATGACATGTCAGGTAGCAAATTATTCTCAATTGGAAATTGTCTGAAATGTACTGCAGGTGTCACAAGATCAACAGCCTTTCTCGGGCAGAGCAAATAGAGCAAGTAGATTGCTTGCTGTGCTTTCCGGAGATCCTGGCCCTGCTCCTCGAGACACAATTCCTCAGGGAGATGCTGGAGGGCCACACTCGACATAGCACAACTTGAGCCAGAACTGCAGCATTAGGTTACAAGGGGCTCACAATCAATCACCAAGCAAGCTGACACACACACACACACACTCACTGAGCCTTCCGCGCAAATATCACTCACATGCCTTCTGAAACGACTTCACCTGGCAAAATGCAAATTTCATGCCAGCCCTGCCCCCCCCCCGGCTCTGTCAAAACATGCCAGGCAGACCACTTGAGCCAGAACTGCAGCATTAGGTTACAAGGGGCTCACAATCAATCACCAAGCAAGCTGACACACACACACACACACACACACACACTCACTGAGCCTTCCGCGCAAATATCACTCACATGCCTTCTGAAACGACTTCACCTGGCAAAATGCAAATTTCATGCCAGCCCTGCCCCCCCCCCGGCTCTGTCAAAACATGCCAGGCAGACCTTGCCATTGATGCTACCACAATAGTTATACTACCGCAAATCATGCTACCACAATTAGCGCTACCACAATTGTTACTACCACAATTGACAAGTTGATGCTACCAGAACTGATGCTACCAGAATTGATGCCACTGCAAAATCGAATCAACCAAGCCAAGCAATGCCATGCTGACTACCACAGTTGCTGCTACCAGAACTGATGGTATCAGAATTGATGCCACCGCAAAATCGAATCAGATGCCACCGCAACAATCGAAGCAATCAAGCCATGCAATGCCATGCTGACTACCACCATTGACATTGATTGATGCTACCAGAATTGATGCCACTGCAGCATCGAATCAACCAAGCCAAGCAATGCCATGCTGACTACCACAATTGATTGATGCTACCAGAATTGATGCCACTGCAGAATCGAATCAACCAAGCCAAGCAATGCCATGCCGACACAGTAACGGCCTCCCCAGCGTCTTTGCAAACACGAGTGTGCTCTGACAGTCATGCGGACTGGAGACTTCTTTAAATGCCACCCCCATTCGGCCAAGATGGGGTCACCCTGCTGAGTATGCGCCGTCTTTGCCCTATGCGGAGCGCTGAAATCCGATTGCCTTGCATACCGGCCCGCAAGAGGACAGGTCATGCTCGTCATCGAGTGCACCGGAATCGCTGCGCAACGCGCCGGTTACTGAAGACCTGTCAATGAGGCACAGCATAAGATGCAATGCGGGGCCATGCCGGCAAGCAGCAGTGATCGAAGTTAATACTTCGACCGTGGTGTGGGTACGTGGCATAGTATTTATTAATAGTAGCGAGGCCTTCCCTGCAATCTGTGTGCATTTCACCCCGCGGCGGACACACCACCTGGCTGGACAGGCGAGCAGCACACAGAGTAAATCCCCAGCGCCCGGCCAGCGACGCTGTCCCACACGGATCAAGGACCCATTGCTCACGTGGTCCGAGCCCGACTGGAGCGGTCTCTAAGACCACTCTGAGCTTGGGCGTGCAGGATGGGTAGGGCGAGTCGAACCAAGCCAAGCAAGCCAAGCAAGCCAAGCAAGCCAAGCAAGCCAAGCAAGCCAAGCAAGCCAAGCAAGCCAACCAAGCAACCAAGCCAACCAAGCAGTGGCACGTGACAAAGGACCACGTTTCAGCTTCCAACACATCCGGCTTGGACAGAAGCGAACACCATCGCTCAATACATCCGGCTTGGACAAATGCAAAAATGTTTGGCAAAAAAGGGTTTCCTCACGCTGGCTTCCCAGTGTGCTTTAAAATGTTTTGGTCAACGGCCGTGCCCCCGGCACTGAAATTCCTAATAAAATACATAAATAAGCTAATACTACAACAGCTTGAAACCTTAAATCGGTATATTGAACTGCACTATTGAGGAAATTGGTTTTGGCCTTCAAACCCCCCTGATCCAGCCCCCAAGGATCCAACCCTCAAAACGAGTGTGTGGAGTTAATCAGTTGCTTTTACCACCTCCTCGCGCTGCATGCTTGGTCTACGGTACGTACTGTCGCCCTTGCAGGGTACTGGAGAGTTTGGGGAAGTCCCTCTACCTGGTAGCCCCCAGCCCAATTGACTGCTAGGCCCGAGAGCTCATTGAATTTCACCGACAATGCACGGATTCGGCAAAATCAGGTTAAACCCAGGTCCAAAAAACCAAGAGTGATGCTATTCGAGTATGTTTGTCAAGGGGTCTGGTCAGCAATGGAACTCCTGCGTGCCTGCGTTCAAGCTTGGGTGTGCATGCAGCGACCTTTGCTGCACGCTTGAGAGTCGACTCTGGAAGCTCCTAGCGCAGTCCAGGATTGTGTGGGCAGCCGTCTCTGAAACGCATGCAGCAGCTATCATGCTGAACTTCACTGATATGCCCCCGGAATGAAGACTTAAGATGAGGATGCACCGCCGTGTGGACACGACGAAACTACAGACAGCTGGAAAACACTCCCAGAAGCGATAGCAGAAGTATTGCATGGCATTGCATGGCCTTCTTTTTGCGTATATCCTGGAGCTAGACCGATCTGAGACTGCACTAGCATCACCTTAGAGTCTACACGAATCTGCACAAACCCAGGCTGTCCTCCTTGAAGGTCACGTCTGGCTCGCCACGGACGGAAGGCACCTGCAGTAAAGAGTGCGTGAGCAGAACCGGGCACCGAACAGGCGGACTGTTCCAGGTGCACCGAACCGGCACTCTTTTCAAGAAACCGCGAACAAATCCAGCCGGAAACGATGGTAGTGCTTCGATCTCGCTGCTGCAAGAGTGTAGGGAGCGCGGTGAGGGCAAGCAGGCAGCCGTGGCTCACGATGTTGGCATCTTCCGACACTGGGAGGGCAGGTGTTTGGAGGGCGTCGAGGGCAGGCAGCGGCTCACGATTTTGGAATTTCGTGCTGTGCTAATGCTCAACCGAGATGCGAGTCGCAAAGTCGTGCAGGTACGCGCTGATGCTGCAGACTCCAAAGGGACTCCCATGACAAGAGGCCGCGAACCAAAACGCAAATGCCGATCGAAAACCGGAGCTTGCGAGGCGACTCGCGTCCAGAAACCGAAACAGAACCGGGAGTCTGGATCCATGGAGTGCACAAAGGGGGATAAACATCTGCGGATCGTCAGTATTACTGTGACTGTGAGTCCTCCCACTGAAGCAAACCGAACAATAAGCTGAAAACCAGGCATGGGAACGCACTGCATCAAGTAGGTATGTTTGAACTCAATCTGGAGGAAAGGAATGTGACCGGACCATGTCTCAAAAGAGATGCCATTGAGAAGGTCGGATCCCGGTTTCCCGTGACTAATAGCAAATGACTCTTCGTGCTCCAAGGAGGGGTTCCGGGCTTCGCAAGGACAGGTCTAAACCTTGATAAGCCCGGCCCATAGATACCGCAAGAACCCCTCAAAACCCCCAGGGCCGGGCCTTGCTTCCGGTACCCGCAGTGCCTGGACGTGGCGAGTTCCCGACCGAGGAGCGCGGAGAGCTTGCCGGGTCGTCTGCAGAAGGGAAGCAGTCACGGGAACAGTGTCTTTGGCAACCAGGACAAGCAGAAGAACAGTTAGTTTAGTTTTGCAACAACAAGGACACATGGCACAACAACCATCACCATCATCATCATTATCGTGATTATTGTTATGATCATCACCATAATCATCACCAGCATCAGAAGCATCACCATCATCATTCACCTTAGCAACAATCAATAGCCGCCGCAACAAGGAACATGATGAATGGCATCACGGCCGTAGGTGCTGCTGGATTGGCTTGGGCTGCGTGCTCGGCAGGAGCCGCTTTGAGTTAGCCGTTGTGGCTGGCTGTGAAAGTATCTGCAGTCGTTGATTTCCGAACTGCAGGCCACATGCATCGAAGCACTCTAGGTCCTCTAGGGGGGCCTACAAGGTTTGCGGCCCTATCCCTTCTAACATCTTCTTGCCGACGATACAAGCCAATTTTCCGTTCCGGTTATCGGTGTTCGGTATGCCTGTGTCATGCGTAGTGCGGTCACTATTCGCCAATGCTGCTGAAACTGTTACACTCCCCTCTTTGTAAACCTTCACCACTACTTTGGCTAAGTAGCACTACTTGCACTTTCTGTCGCTGGTACTGCTGTTACCACTGTGCTGGTGCTTTTGCTGTCGCCGCTGTCGTTGTTGTTGTTGTTGTTGTTGTTGTTGCTGCTGTCGTCGTTGGTTGCTGTTCATGGTTGCTGTTGATGGTGGTGTTTTTGTTATTGCTGCTGTTGTTGTTGTTTGACGGTGATGGTGATTCTGCTGATGATGATGCTGGTGCTATGGAAGAGGTGCAAGTGCACATCAGGGACTGAAGGATGATGCCCCACGAGGCATCTGACCGCATTTGAACGATGAAACTGCTGTTTGAAAGCCTTGGTTATTACTTTCCGGCCTGTGACCATCAAGTCCTTCATCTGGGCGCCAAGGTTTGTTATATTCCACCACCAAGCCTCCCGCCAAAGGACAGAGCTTCCGGACTCTCCAAGTCTCTCGGGGTGAGTGGTGTTTTGCATTGCGCTGCATCGCGTGAAATATACCGTACTTCCGTTCTTGTCCGATGCCAAAGCTGAGCACATTTTTTCGAATCGCGGTCCGAGCAATCTGGTCTGTTTCTGGAGTCACTCTAGCCAAGCTAAGTGTCGGCATCTGCTGACGTGACTTCAAAGCGATTTTCGGCCGGTAACAGCCGAGGTCCACAGTGGGACATCCCCGTGAGATTGGGCTCCAGCCAGCCAACCAGAAAAAATGGCTTTCCACACCCGGGCACGGAGACACAAAATATGCACATTCCTTGAAGAACTAGACTACTGCCTTAAATGGCCCCTTAAAGTGGGCGAAAAGGCTACAGTGGGCCTAGGGCGAGGCCCTCCAGACCTGCCCCCTGAGCATGCGAAGGTCGGTGCCCCGTTACCCTTCGTTGTGAAGGACCGGGAACCATGCTGGTACCGCGAAATTGAATTGCGTAGCTCTTCATTCCAAAAGTTGCAGTTAGATGCATGTAGACCTATGCAGCTTCTTTCTGATATCTGACACGACGCAGAATGGCATTCGGACCCTCGCAGCTCGAACTCTTGAGACGCTCATCCGGTGTTCTGCATGCCGGCGGCGATGGCCTGAAAGAAGCAGTGCATGTTGGATGAAGGTACCCAAGGAAGTCCACTTCCAATCAGTGTCACGAGGCACAGCTAGGTCTCCTCTGCTTGCGTTTGGGATTCTGCACGTTTAAACTGTCGCAGATTCGTATGTGCCAGGTGACCCATTCTTGAGGAAACAAGAAGGAAGACTTATGGCTGCGTCTAGCCGCGCCTAGCCTGTCTTTAGTTTGTCTTTAGTCTATCTCTTGGTACTAGTACATGTCTGGTGAAAACCCAGACTTTCTCGCCTGAATGGAGATGATCATGGCATCCCTCAGCTCCTTCGGCGGCTCCTGAGAGTGGGTATTCAGTGCTTACAGGGTTCCGGGCTGTGTCACCATTCGGGCGAAGTTTGGTTTCGTGCGAAAGGCTACCAACCAACCCTTAATCCCGAATTCAAAGCAGCCGAGACGGACCAAGCCGCCAACCTCGAAGGAGCAAGCAAGCCTCAAGCCCTAACCGAACCCGAAACCTCTCCGAAAGCCCCAACTGTCGGTAACCTTCCAAGGTCTAAGCCCTGGAGACTAAAATAAAATCAAAATCCTCTAAGCCAAAGCAAGGGCCTCGTCTTTTGCCTGGGTATCTCGAAGCCTCTGGAGCACTTCCGCCTGTGCAGCGGCGTTGCTTGGGATTCGGCACTTTTGCTTTTGATCTCTTGCGGTTGGAGGCGTCGGAGGTTTCGAGTGGTTTCGCATGGCGGTATCTCCGTGACTACGCCACACGAGCTTTGCGGCATCTCGATGTCCGTAACAGCACGTTTGCCCACAGGCCTATAAATTCTGCGTATCTTCGGCGGCCCAGTTTCTCCAATCCGCCCCCAAACCACCCTAGTAAGCTTGCCAGCCCAAACAGGGTAGCTGCCTCAAGGGCTACATGAACTCCTGAGGTTCGGCTTCAAGGCCAATCGTGCAGTGGGCCCAGAGGCTGGTACGAGCCGTCGTGTCGGCGCACCATCTCAGACTCACTCCAGAGACCCCCACCGCCCGGGTCTCCACTCTACTGCCCAGCCCCACAGTATGGCCGCAAAGTGCAATACTGAAGGTATGTCTTGTGTATCGGACTCGTCCGATACTCATCAGAATCAGAAACTGCCCGAAGGTACCCACCCACACAAGTGCTGAAGATACCTTGGAATACCTTGGAAACAAGTCTGTGCCACGAACCACCAGAGTCCACTTTGAACACAAGCACAGACACACACACACACACACACACATGCTGTCAGCCTGGATCACATGCGAGATGTCCAGGAATGGCCGTCGCATCGCGATGGACTGCAAAACGAGATAACAGCTGCATGCCAGGTTACATGGAAATAAAATGAACAAGGACATCCATGCAGATGCTGCGACAGGGCAATCGAAACCAGACAATGTCGTCGATTTGGAACCTGTGTCTACTGCAGTATGAAACCAAGCTTGGCAGGAGCCTGCTTCACGACAGGGTCCTTGGTCAGCAGCTTCTCAGCTCCTTTGACCTTGAGGACATTGGTGATGGCTTGCTGAAGACCTGCCGCTGCAGCCGTGATGCAACGACTAGCTTGAGAAACTTACCTCCCCCGCGAATTACCACAACATGTGAGCTTCACCTGTTGATGGGGTGGTCGACTAGCTCATCGTGCAGTTGTTGTTCGTTTCACTTGGCGAGATGACAGCGGAACTCTGTCAATGCAAGCTCCACAGCCACATAGAATAAATGATGCATTGCGAGATGTCAGCCACTTAAGCAAACCCCGGGGGTGCGACCGTCACGAAGATGCTGCGCCAACTTCTTCAAGTCGTCTTCTTTCAAAGTCTTGGTCTCGTAATGCTTGGCCAGGTCCGGCTGGGCCTCGTCGAGGCTTTGGCAAGGTACGATGACCAACCGTACATCTGTTCATAGTTGGTGATCATGTTCAGTACAGTAGCTACAGCAACAGCAGCACCAGCAGCAGTGGCACCATGTGGGGTTGTTGCACTGGGATCATCCCATACCGTGGGAAAGAGGGGGGCTTAACAACGCTGCACACGGCCGTGCCTGCATCGGTGCGTGGTTGGGCGGGCGAGTGGGTGAGTGTGGGATGGGTGTGTTCGGGCGTCTTTGCGCTTGTGGACGTGCCTTTTTGCACGGGTTCGTGCGCGCGTGTGCATGCGCGCGTTGGTGCATGTAAGTATGCCTGTATGTTTGTAGTGGGTAGGTAGCTGACAGGCGAGGAGGTGACCTGGGTAACCAGGTAGGTAGGTAGGTAGGTGTCCGGCAGTACATCCGCCTGCCCGCCCGCCCGAAAGTATGCATGCATGTATGGACGCATGCATGTAGGGATGCACGCATGTATGGGTGGATGGATGCATGGATGGACAGATGTATGATTGGAAGGATGCATGGAAGGTGGATAGACAAATTCATAGATGCACGGATGGATGCATGGATGGATGGATAGATGGATGGATAGATGGATGCATGGATGGATGGATGGATGCATGCAAAAATGCATGGATGCATAGATGGAGGGATGCATGGATGCATGGATGGATGCATGGATGTATGGATGTATGGATGCATGGATGCATGGATGCATGCATGCATGCATGGATGGATGGATGGATGTGTGGATGGATGCATGCATGCATGGATGCATGTATGGATGGATGCATGGATGGATGCATGAATGTATGCATGAATGTATGGGTCGACGGATCGATGGATCGATGGATCGATGGATGGATGGATGGATCGATGGATGGATGGATGGATGGATGCATGCATGCATGCATGAATGGATGCATGTAGGGCTGCAGGAATGGATGCATCGAGGGATCGATGGATGGATGGAGGGAGGGATGCATGGATGGATGGAGGGAGGGATGCATGGATGCATGGATGCATGCATGGATGCATGGATGCATGCATGGATGGATGGATGGATGGGTGGATGGGTGGATGGGTGAATGGCTGGGTGGATGGGTGAATGGCTGGGTGGATGGGTCGATGGGTGGATGGGTGGATGGATGGATGGATGGGTGAGATGGATCATGCGCGAAGCCATCTGACCAAAGGTCAGAAACACTGCCGCTTAGCAAAGCTACGGCTGTACCTGACAACAGGTCCTGACCTATGCCTGTTTCCTGATGCAGATGGACGTGCCAGCAGATGGGTTTCTTTCTGAGAGAATCAGGTGCGGTTTAGACAGCTGGCTGGCCAGCCAGCTAGCTAGATGGATGAATAGACGCGTAGAAAGATACAGAGACAGATAGACTCTCACCAACAGCAAACTGGATAGGGATCTAGGCAGAGGACACAGACGGAAAATAAACAAACAGGCAATCTGTTGCTCCCGATCCACAAACGGCATGCCTTTCCGAGCTCGATGTCAATGAGGTCGAGCATGGATTGGAACATGGGCCACTCCTTGTACATTTTCTGGAGGAGGGGCAGCTTGCCGGCATCGATGTACTTCTGCAGAGCGAGGCCGTTGCCGAGCCAGACCGGCAGAAGCAGTCGGGTCTGGGTCCAGGCGAAGATCCAGGGAATTGCCCGAAGCGTGTCGATGCCTCCGTAGGCCCTCCGCTTGGCAGGGCGGCTTCCGATGTTCATCTGCCCGAGCTCGGAAGTGGGGGTGTAGGTGTGGAAGAAGCGGACGAAGATGTCATTCTCGCTCTTGAACACTGTCTTCTGGTACTCTTCTGCGGAAATGTCGGCCAGTTCCTGCATGGCTGCTCGGAACTCCGGATTTGGGAGTGGCGGCGGAGTGAGGGTGTGCCTTAGCACAGCCGTGGAGTATCGCTCCAACGTTCTTTCGGCCACCTCGGCGCTGGCAAAGTGGCGTCCAATGGTTTCACCTTGGATGGTCAGGCGCAGGTGGCCTCGCTCCAAAGACCCCTGGGGCTGGGCCAGGAGAGTCAGATGAGGAGGGCCACCTCCGCGTCCGATGGAGCCACCGCGGCCATGGAAGAAGGTCACGTTGACACCGTGCTTCTTGCCGACTTCCAGGATCTTCTCCATGGCCACGTGCAGCTCCCAAGTAGAGGCAAACTTTCCGGCATCCTTCACGGAGTCGGAGTAGCCCAGCATGACCTCCTGGCTGCCCTGAATGTGCTTCTTGTACCATGGCACGCTAAAGGCGGCGTCGATCACCTTGGGGGCATTGATCAGGTCATCGCGGGTCTCAAAGAGGGGGCTGACGCGCATGAACTTCTTCACACCTCCGATCTTCTGCAGCAAGCACACCGCCAGGACATCCGAGGTAGCCCGGGACATAGAGATGCAGTAAGCACCCAAGGCCTCGATGGGCAATTCAGAGATGGTCTTGTAGGTAGCCAAGACTTCCTTGACGATGTCGCTGGCTTCGAGATCGTCAGGCAAGAGAGGCCTCTTCGACTCGATCTCCTTCACGAGCCAGTCACACTTCTCCTGCTCGGACCAGGAGGTGTATTTGCCCAGACCGAGGAACTCGGTGACCGCCTCCAAAGCCTCTGAGTGGCGGTCGCTTTCTTGGCGCACATCCAAGCAGGCCATGCTGATGCCAAAGGTGCGGACGCGGCGGATGAGGTCCAGGAGTCGGCCGTTGGCCACTGCCTCCACAAACACACGGCGAAAGCCCCCCCTCTCAGAGTAGAAACGCCATAAACACCGAAGCTCGTACCTACGTTTACTTTTACAGCCGCCACCTCATCGCCACTCTCCACCAAAGAGCGGTAGATAATCTCCAGGGGCCGAGCAAGCTCGTCCACGGACGTCAGAACCTCCCAGGTCCCAAGCGATTTGGAGTTTCAACTCAGTGGCGCTGCTCTTGACACACAATTTAAATGGCGCAAGTAACCTCCTTCTCGAAGTCCGCCTCTACGTGGCTGCCCATGTACATAGCCTGGGCAGGTGCAAGAAACAGTGATGTCTTGCACTTTGGAGGGGTGGGGAGGGGTCAGTGATAAGCCGATGGGGCACCTCCATTGTCTTCTTCGTTCGCCAGCACCGCCTTCGCACGGCCATCAGAAGCCTCCGGTAGGGCTCGTCGGCGGCCACGCCCGTGTGGAAGTTCCAATGCACACCGCTGCGCTGGTCGGGGCGGCAAACCTTGCCTCCGGGCACCGTAGGGGCCGACCACATGCTGCTGACAGCCTCGATCTCCCGCTGAAGCTCCTCGCTGGTCTCACCCGTCATGCTCAGCTCGTAGAGCAACTCATCCACCTGCACAGCTCTGAACGTCACAAGCTCTCAACAACAAGCTCTCAACACTCGGAAGCTCCCTACACACTTCTCCCGGCGCTCTGCCTCGCGGTAGTAAAGCTCAACGATGCGCCAGCGAAGCAACGTCACCACTTGCTTGGTCGTGTGCCACGTCACATTGGGATTGCCATCACGATCTCCTCCCATCCAGCTGCTCAACTTCAAAATCGACGAACCGTAAGGAAGCTGAGGTTGGCCAATTCGCCTCAAGCAGCGGTCGATGCGGCGGTAGTACTCCGGCACCGCCTTCCAGACAGTGTCCTCGATGACCAGCATGCCATTGCGCGCTTCTCCCTCCGGAGTGGGCCTTGCAGCGAGCCGCGAGCGACCCTTTTTTATCCTACATTTGCAAACTCTGCTTGTCAACACCTGTGTTAACCCTTGAAGACTACTGTAAGTTCACCCGACACGGCCACTTGCAACAGCTTCCACAACCGGCATCCGCGTGATGGTGATTCTGGTTCTTGACCGTTTCCAATCATGCATTCAATGCTAGTCACTTTCAGACCACGTCAACTCGGAGGACGAGAGAGAAGCCTCTAGTCAAGATACTGTCTGGGACTGTGCGAAGTCTGACCTGACAGCTGATCGGCAATTGGCTCAAAGATTAAGGATTGCGGTCTTGCCTGGTGCGTCGCACCGTGTTCGTGCGCCAGCAGCTCCACTGCACAGCCTTGATATCATCATCGAGGCCTTGAAGCTGTCCTGGGGTGAGTGAGTCCTTGCCGTCGTACTTTTGCAAATAGCTCAGCATGTCCTCGTGCTTCTTCAAGGCACTTCGCCTCTGGGCTTCCGTCGGGTGCGCCGTCAAGACCAGCTCAATCTTCTGAGTGGCCAAAGCCTCGCGGATCTTCTCGGGCTTGACTCCTTCTGCCACCATCTTCTTCAGCAGTCCCTTCCATGTGAGGCTGGCGAGATCGCTTTGGTCGTCATCATGAGACACCACCGCTTTGAAGGCTCGGAGGCGGTGATGAGACTCCGCCAAGTCTGCCTGGAGCGACGTGTCCATGAGGACCCGGCCCGCAACCTGCAGCTCACTGGGCGTCATTTGGGCCACGTAGTCGGCGATCTTTTGGAAGACTGCCTGTCCCTTCAAGCTGTACTCCTCAATCATGTCCATAAGACCCAGGACCTTCTTCGGCAAGATCGTGGGGCCTTCGCTCTCACCGGCTGCATCGCCTGTCCAAGCTGATCTGGGAGAGCTGACCCTCTCGCTGCCCTGCTCATGAGCACGGAGCACCGCCATCAGGTGCGAACGCAGCATCTCAAAGTCCCGGAGCATGTCTGCCGGGGATGACATGGCGACGAATCAAACGAAGCACAGAGTGCAGCAAGGTAGGGGACGCAGAAATTAAATTGCTGCAAAGAGCCGGAACATCACGAGCAGACTCAGACTGCTTCTGTCATGGCCACGCATGCGTCATCCGGACGCGATGGATATGACACTCCTACTGGATTAGCTCAGTGCATGCTTATGCGATCTACAGCAGTGCCACAGCATCCCTGTGCAGTTGAGGCACCTCCCGTGCATTCTGAGCATGCTGTGAACGAGGCGTCTCCAGAGCTTCTGGCAGCTTGAACTTGTCCTCGGTCCTGGCCCGACGGCGAGCGGGAAGTCATCGGAAACACACTTAGACTGGCGGAACGGTTTTTTTTTTCCTAGGTCTGGTCCGCCCCGGCTTGCTTTCCTAAGTCTGGTCCACTGGTTGTGGTTGCAAACAGCGGCAACTGCAGTCTTTGCTTCTATTTTGCATCAAGCTATTGGGGAACTAGAATTTGACGGCTCTGGTTTTGCTTTTGTTTTGCATGAAGCTATTGGGGAACTACAACTTGCGGAGTCTGATTTTGCTTGTGTTTAGCATCAAGCTGTTGGAGAACCACAAGTTGCAGGGTTCGGTTTTCTTTGAGTTTTGCATGAAGCTATTGGGGAGTTCGCATTTGCAGGGATCGATGTTGCTTGTGTTTTGCATCAAGCTATTGGGGAACTACAATTCGCAGGGTCTTCTTCTGCTTGTGTTCTGCTTCAAGCTATTAGGGAACTACAATTTGCGGTGTGTTCTTCTGCTTGTGTTTTGCATGAAGCTATTGGGGAACTACAATTTGCGGTGTGTTCTTCTGCTTGTGTTTTGCATCAAGCTAATGGGGAACTACAATTTGCGGGGTCGGCTTTGTTTGTGTTTTGCATCAAGCTATTGGGGAACTACAATTTGCAGAGTTTTTTTTGTTTGTGTTTTCCATCAAGCTAATGGGGAACTAGCATTCGCAGGGTCTGGTTTTGCTTGTGTCTTGCATGAAGCTATTGGAGCACTACAATTTGCAGGGTCGTGTTTCGCGTGTGAATATTGCCTGATTACAATTTCAAATCTTCTGCCTTGTGTCGTTGTTTTTTGGTGTCGTTGTCGACATCCTCGTCATCCTCGTCCTCGTCCTCGTCGTTGCCGTCGTGGTAGTTGTTCTTGTTGCTGTTGCTGGCATTCTTGTTGTTGCTGTTGTTGTTGTGGTTGTCGTGGTGGTTGTGGTTGTGGCTGTTGCTGTTGTTGTTGTTCTTGTTGTCAGACAGGCGTGTTGCTGTTGTTGTTG